CGCCTCCTGCCTGGGCTGAAACCCACATCCAGGGCGTCCCCGCGGCAGGGGCGGACCGGCTGCCCTGCCTCTCCTTTGTAGCCTTACAGGTCAGGATGGAGACTGGATCCCGCTCACCGCAGCCCACCACCGTGGGTTCCCACCCCTGCACCAGGTCAGCGTGCTGTGAGCATTGACCCCCAGCACAGGCTTTCCCTTCCACAGCCAAGGCCCTACGTCCACGTGGAAGGCGTCCTGCACCCCATGCTTGACATTCTCATCTGGAAAGAGCTGTTCCAGAACAGGCGTCCACAGCCTCCCAGAACTGCTGGTCCCGGAGGTCCGCGCCACAACCTCCCATCTGTAGTGTAAGTGCCCGTCCTTTCAGCTCAACACACAGCACTGGGACCCCTGGGACAAAGGCCATTTCTGCACTTTACAGACGAGGAGGCAGGAAGGAGCTGGGGAGGGAGCTGCAGGGGCCCAGACCCTCTCCCCACCTGGAGCTTCCTCCTGGGTGGATGGGAGGTTTCCCTCCTCTCACTTCCAGCCAGTGGGGACAGCTCACAGTGCTCCCCCTCTCCCTCCACAGAAGCTGCGTGATCCTGTAAGGGACTGTGTTTGGGGTGCCTAGAGCCTGCCTCGGCCAGCCCTGTTAGAAGACTGCCTGCATCCCAGAGCAGATTTTCTCCTGCAAAATCAGCTGTGACACAGCATCGGGGGCCAGACCAGCAGGTGGTGCCCGAAGGAGGCTCCCAACTGTCCCATCGTGCCCTGCCTGGGGCATGGGACAGAAGGCTGGGCAGACATTTTATTGAAAGGTCGCAGATATAAGAGCTCTTGAGCAAGGGCACGGTCTGGGGGAGGCAGGGGTCAGGGAGGACAGAGTGAGTCCCCAGAGGCTGGCAGCCCCATCCTGGCAAGCTCCCACAAAGCCCTTCTGCTGGCTGTCAGGTCTGAGGGGCCCCAGGAGGCTGGGAAGGGCACGTGAGGGCCGGGGGCAGCGGCTGAAAGCCAGGGAGCAGCAGCTCAGGAGGACACTTGTGGCCTGGAGACACACGGGGTGGGGGGCTGGGCTGGGCGAAGCTCGCTGCCACCTGCCGTGCACATCTTCTGATGGCTTGTGGCTGGGTCATAGCCTGGGGAGCCCAGGGCAGGAGCCCTGCTCTGCCCAACCTCCCAGCATCCTGCGTTTCAGCGATCACAGAAGTAAACCTGTCTCAGCTCCTGTCTCCACGGCCAGGGGAGGCACCAGGCCTCAGTAGTCAGTGAGTGGGTACCGCAGGAAGATGAAGACGAGGATGATGCAGGAAGCGGCCAGGGCGGAGCTGGTGATGTTGAACAGCCGGGCTGTCTTGGCATCCTCCACTGCTCCGTTCAGGTCATTGAGGAGCTTCTTGTCCCGAACCTGAAGCCAGAAGGAGGAGATGAGATGCGGGGTGAGTGGGGGTGGTCGGGGGCCAGCTGGGAGGGCATCAGAGCAGAGGGTGCTGGCAGACAGCATGGCATCCGTGCCAGTTTCAAGTTTGACAACAGTGCTGTGTTCTGTAAGAGAATGTCCTTCCTTGGGGGAACTATCTGAGTGCACTGAAGTGGTTAGGGGCATAGAGTCATCGTGTCTGAGACTCATTATCAAACACTTTATAAATAAACAATATGTATTTGTTAGAAGGAAGAAACAAGTACAGTAACATGTTAACATTTCAGACATCTGGGTGAAGGGTATATAGGGGTTTTTTGCTTTGTTTTGTTTTGAAACGTTTTGGTAAGTCTGAAATTATTTCAAATAACAGAGGAAGTGGGCCTCAGAGAGAGTACCATGGTTGGTGGGTGGGGTGATACAAGCATGTCCTAATTTGCTTGGTCTCACCTAATTTAAAATCAGCTGGGATGTCCAGAGAGCACAGGCTGGACAGGCAGCTGTCCCTGTGGGCTCTGGGAAGTGCCAGGAAGTCTTGGGGAGAGAGTGGGCAGAGATGGACCCAGTTCCAAGATGCCACCCTCATCCAAGTCGAATCTCAGGATCCCCTCTCTGCATCTGGGGACTCACTTTGTCCTCCTACAAAGTCCAAGTACCTGCAGGTCTGAGCATGCTGCAAGAAGAAACCAGAACCCAGCAGGAAAAGAGAAGAAGGGAGAGTGAGGGAGACAGAGAGGAAAAAAAAGTCTTTGCATTAACAGATTGTGGCTCGGTTCAAGGAAGGAAGGTGGGAGGACAGGAGCTTGGACAGATGCCTGCATCACTCAGTGGGAGGAGTGGAGTGGAGAGGAGTGGAGTGGAGAGGAGTAGAGTGGAGTGGAGTGGAGTGGAGAGGAGTGGAGTGGAGAGGAGTGGAGTGGAGTATAGAGGAGTGGAGTGGAGAGGAGTAGGGTGGGGTGGAGTGGAGTGGAGAGGAGTGGAGTGGAGTGGAGAGCAGAGGAGAGGAGTGGAGTGGAGAGGAGTGGAGAGAAGTGGAGTGCAGAGGAGTGGAGTGGAGTGGAGTGGGGTGGAGTGCAGAGGAGTGGAGTGCAGAGGAGTGGAGAGGAGTGTAGTGGAGAGGAGAGGAGTGGAGAGGATTGGAGTGGAGAGGAACGGAGAGGAGTGGAGTAGAGAGGAATGGAGAGGAGCGGAGTGGAGAGGAGTGGAGTGGAGTAGAGAGGAGTGGAGTGGAGAGGAGTGGAGTGGAGAGGAGTGGAGTGGAGAGGAGTGGAGTGGAGAGGAGTGGAGTGGAGAGGAGTGGAGTGGAGAGGAGTGGAGTGGAGAGGAGTGGAGTGGAGAGGAGTGGAGTGGAGGCATAACTTCGTATAGCATACATTATACGAAGTTATACGATGGAGTGGAGAGGACTGGAGTGGAGTGGAGTGGAGTGGAGAGGAGAGGAGAGGAATGGAGAGGAATGGAGAGGAGAGGAATGGAGAGGAGAGGAGTGGAGTGGAGTGGAGTAGAGTAGAGAGGAGTGGAGTGGAGAGGAAAGGATTGGAGTGGAGAGGAACGGAGAGGAGTGGAGTGGAGTGGAGTGGAGTGGAGTGGAGTGCAGAGGAGTGGAGAGGAGTGGAGTGGAGAGGAGTGGAGAGGAATGGAGAGGAGAGGAATGGAGAGGAGTGGAGAGGAGTGAAGTAGAGAGGAGTGGAGTGCCATGGACAGGGGCGGAGTGGAGCAGAGAGAGGAGTGCAGTGGAGTTGCGTGGAGTGGATTGGACAGGAGTGGAGTGGTGAGGAGTGGAGAAGAGTGGAGTAGAGAGGAGTGGAGAGGAGTGGAGTAGAGAGGAGTGGAGAGGAGTGGAGTGCCATGGACAGGGGTGAAGTGGAGCAGAGAGAGGAGTGCAGTGGAGTTGCGTGGAGTGGATTGGACAGGAGTGGAGTGGTGAGGAGTGGTGCAGAGAGGAGTGGAGTGGTACAGTGTGGAATGGATTTGAGTGGATAGATATGTTGGAAGGCGAGGGGAAGGGAGGAGACAGGGTGACTTTTGATCTCCTTTGACCTAAGGAGGGAGGAAGGACTTTATGCCTGGATGGAGTTCTTATTCTGGTGAATTTGGAGGGAACTGACATGTTTACTGAATTTGTGTACCTTTCTAAGAGCAGCATGTGTCACTCACTTATTTAGGTCTTATTTGATATCTTTGTTTAAGTTAAGTTTTTAAATTTTCTCCAGAAAGAGCTATTATATCTTTTGTGAAATCTATTCTTAATCTATTTATTTTGGTTTTTTATTATATGTAAAATTACATTTCTTACTGATTTTTGTTGATGTATAAACCTTCAATGCCATCTTGTAGATTGATTTTGTATCCAGCTAAACTATCATACTGTGATAGCTCACAAAGTTTTCTTCAGAATAAAGCATATCTGCTGCAAATAAGAGCATTTCTACTTCCTCCTTCCAGTCGCCATTCCTGGGCTGTGCCGCCTAGTGGGTGAGGCCAGAGGCCGTGTCCACAGAGGCCTGAGATATGCTGACTAGATTTGAATCCTGATTGTTCCAGGCTCCAGGTGAGACCTTCGGCAAGTTCACGAACTTTTCTGCACCTGAGTAGTCTCATCTGTAACAGGAAGATAATAAAATGATCTGCCCCGGAGGGTTGTTGAAAGGACTTAATGAGTCAGTGAATATAAAGCATTTGCCCAATGTCTGGCCCAAAGTGAGCTCCTATCATGGAGGCAGAGGAGAGTTCCAGAATAACACCAGCAGTGATGCTAACAAGCAGCCTAGTCTCATTCTTGATCTTAACATTGACCACTGAAGATAATGTTCATCGTATTAGCAGAGGCCTCTTATTGTGTTTAAAAATGTTCATGAGATGAATGTATGATTTTTTTCCCTCTAACTCATTAATGTAGTTGATTACATTCATTCATCCTCTTCAAACAGCTCTGCATTTCTAAAGTAAACCCTTGGTCGTGATTTCTTTGTTGGATAATTGGAACGAGGAAAGGAGGGATGGAGGGAGGGTGAGTCACGGGATGTTTAAAGTGGGTGGATCCGTGGAGGGAAGAAAGCTGGAAGGAGATGGGTTACTGAGTCTGGTCGTGAAGGACGGTAAAGAAGAGGAAGGCTGAGAGGTGACTCGATGACTGGGGACAGGCATGGCTGGATGGAAAGTGGGATTTGTGGGTGTACACTGGATGCATGGGACAGAGAAATGGACATGGTAATGGGTGCCAGGTGGAAGGAGAAGCTGGATGGATTGTGAGTGTCCGCTAGATGAGTGGGTAGGGAGGTGGATTGGAGTGGAGAGCAGAGGAGAGGAGTGGAGTGGAGTGGAGTGGAGAGGAGTGGAGTGGAGTAGAGAGGAGTGGAGTGGAGAGGAGTGGAGTGGAGAGGAGTGGAGTGGAGTGGAGTGGGGTGGAGAGGAGTGGAGAGGAGTGGAGTGGAGTGGAGTGCAGAGGAGTGGAGTGGAGAGGAGTGGAGAGGAGTGGAGTGGAGTGGAGTGCAGAGGAGTGGAGTGGAGAGGAGTGGAGAGGAGTGGAGTGCAGATGAGTGGAGTGGAGTGGAGAGGAGTGGAGAGGAGTGGAGTGCAGAGGAGTGGAGAGGAGAGGAATGGAGAAGATTGGAGTGGAGAGGAACGGAGAGGAGTGGAGTAGAGAGGAATGGAGAGGAGTGGAGAGGAGTGGAGTGGAGTGGAATGCAGAGGAGTAGAGAGGAGTGGAGTGGAGAGGAGAGGAGTGGAGTGGAGAGGAGTAGAGAGGAGTGGAGTGGAGAGGAGAGGAGTGGAGTGGAGAGGAGTGGAGAGGAGAGGAATGGAGAAGAGTGGAGTGGAGAGGAGTGGAGTGGAGAGGAGTGGAGTGGAGAGGACTGGAGTGGAGTGGAGTGGAGTGGAGAGGAGAGGAGAGGAATGGAGAGGAGAGGAATGGAGAGGAGTGGAGTGGAGAGGACTGGAGTGGAGTGGAGTGGAGTGGAGAGGAGAGGAGAGGAATGGAGAGGAGAGGAATGGAGAGGAGTGGAGTGGAGAGGACTGGAGTGGAGTGGAGTGGAGAGGAGAGGAGAGGAATGGAGAGGAGAGGAATGGAGAGGAGTGGAGTGGAGAGGACTGGAGTGGAGTGGAGTGGAGAGGAGAGGAGAGGAATGGAGAGGAGAGGAATGGAGAGGAGAGGAGTGGAGTGGAGTGGAGTAGAGAGGAGTGGAGTGGAGAGGAGAGGATTGGAGTGGAGTGGAGTGGAGTGGAGTGCAGAGGAGTGGAGAGGAGTGGAGTGGAGAGGAGAGGAGTGGAGAGGAATGGAGAGGAGAGGAATGGAGAGGAGTGGAGAGGAGTGGAGTGGAGAGGAGTGGAGAAGAGTGGAGTAGAGAGGAGTGGAGAGGAGTGGAGTGCAGTGGACAGGGGCGGAGCGGAGCGGAGAGAGGAGTGCAGTGGAGTTGCGTGGAGTGGATTGGACAGGAGTGGAGTGGTGAGGAGTGGAGAAGAGTGGAGTAGAGAGGAGTGGAGAGGAGTGGAGTGCCATGGACGGGGTGGAGTGGAGCAGAGAGAGGAGTGCAGTGGAGTTGAGTGGAGTGGATTGGACAGGAGTGGATTGGTGAGGAGTAGTGCAGAGAGGAGTGGAGTGGTACAGTGTGGAATGGATTTGAGTGGATAGATATGTTGGAANGAACTCATGAGTATATGCTGAATGGCTGGACAGGTGGTCAGATGGGCACGGACATGTATGTCAGATGGACGTGGGTGGATACCGAATTGGCAAATGCATTGTTGGATGTGAGAGACACGTGTAGATGAATTTATGGACATATGTTGGCTGGTTGGAGCACATACACAGATGGATATAACAATGCACACTGAATTGTTGGGACAGGTGCATAGGTGCGCATGCTGAATCATTGGGGCAGGTAGGTAAATGGATTCATGGTTGTATGTTGGATGGGCGAGACAAGTGGATTAGTGGAAAAAAAGGAGCGTTGTTGGCTAAATAAGTTACAGTGTGGACCAATGGAAGG